TTTCTGTTGGCGGAGATCCAGGGATATGATTCCATTTTTACAGGTGCAGAAACAGATGAGAGGGAAGAAATTACATGATTTGCAGACCCTGCAAATTCTCCCTTGTGCTATATCCATTCCCAATAAGAGCTGAAGAACTGGAATATGCAGTGTGTGGGGGGACAGAAGGCCAACTGTGCTGCTTTCAAGAAGGAGCTCTATGTGCATTCCAGAGCAGGGAAGACGTAGTTCAATCCCTGCCTTATAAAGGCTTGGTTGATTTCCCTTCTGCTGTCTCAAAAGCAGTGAAGTAAAATTACAAGATGCTTTTTGTATTTATCTGTACAATAAATCTCTCCATAAAATTTGAAGATGTCTCTGAGCTGAGCTGGCTGTTAAGATGAACCAGGCAAGGAAGCTTTTCAGAGTGCTTATAGGAGACTTAAAAAAAAAAAAAAAAAGCCCTTTCAGATTCACTGTTATTGCAGATTTTACCGTTGAGATGAAACGAAGAAAGCCTCTGAGCAAAGTTCTGAGAAGCTCCTTGCACTGCACAGCTATCAAATCATTTTTAATTGCAAGAGAGAGAATAAGAAAAAGCTCACAACATGGCAAACACAGAAGAGGAAGAGGGGTTATTGCAGATTTTACCGTTGAGATGAAACGAAGAAAGCCTCTGAGCAAAGTTCTGAGAAGCTCCTTGCACTGCACAGCTATCAAATCATTTTAATTGCAAGAGAGAGAATAAGAAAAAGCTTACAGCATGGCAAACACAGAAGAGGAAGAGGGGTTGCTGATTCTGGGTTGGGAATTTCATGGAGCCTAGGGAGGGTGAAGTTTGGAAAGGGGAGAGACCATACCGAGGTATAATGCCATAGAGTCCACCCTCTAAAGCAACCATTTTCTCCAGGGGAAGTGATCTCTGTCACCTGGAGATCAGTTATAATTCCAGGACACCTCCAGGCCCCACCTGGAGGTTGGAAAGCCTCGGAAGAGGAAAGGGGGCTCCTGTCCTTAGTCACCTCATGCAATATTTATCAAGGAATTGTGTAGTGGTTAAGTGCACGGACTCTAATCTGGGAGAACTGGGTTTGATTCCCCACTCCTCCACTCGCAGCTGCTAGATGACCTTCGGCAAGCCATAGTTCTGGCAGAGGTGTTCTTGAAAAGAGCAGTTTCTGTCAGAGCGCTCTCTCAGCCCCACCTACCTCACAGGGTGTCTGTTGTGGGGAGGGGAAGGGAAAGGAGTTTGTAAGCCGCTTTGAGACTCCGCGTGAAAGGTGGGGTATAAATCCAATCTCCTCTTCTTCTTCTACTCCGTGGAAGCACATTTATCACAATTTGCAACCAAATACACTGGGGGGAGCATTGAATTTTTCCAGCCACAAAATTGGAGTGCTAAAAAAATAAGAGATGCTTGTAAAAGTAGTGTAACACTCAGTGAAGATGAATGGCTCAGTGAAGATGAATGGCTTGTGCTCTGTGAAACAACTGTACATTCATTACTCATTCATGGGAAAAGTTTGTGTAGAAAGTCTCTTTATTTAAAAGCTTCTATGCTATTTTAAAAGCCAGCATGGTATAGTGGTTAAACTAGAGTCTGGAGACCCTGGTTCTAATCTGCATCCTGCCATGGAAGCTAGCGTGCTGTCCTTAGGCCAGTCACATACTCTCAGCCTACCCTACCTCAGAGGGTTGTTGTTATGAGGATTAAATAGAGATGAGGAGAATAATGTCTCTCTGTATGTATGTGCTATTATGCTGACCACTGATACCTTTGCTATCTCGTGCTGTGGGGGCTGAAATAATTGGCTATAAATCTCAAAATAAAGTGAGCTATATTTTATTTCAATCTCCCTGTATAAAAGTAACCTGAATGAGTCTTGCTCACTGATAGTGACACTAATTTTACACAAAGAGTGCTTTTATCACAAACCATGATAATGCCTTGTGAAGGCCTGTTCACTGTTGTAAAGTAAACAACTAATGAGTTGTTTATGAAACAAATTTTAGGGCTGAGCTAGAAGTTCGTAACTGAATTTTTTTCTAGCATGAAATCTGGCTTTTCAGAAGGGAGGTGGTGAAAGGTTTCATGACCCCTCCCCAATATTTCATTGCTTTGTCCCTTTGATCATGATTTGCACCACTGCTGCGTACTATTTCTTTTCCTTTTTCCTTTAACAAGAAAAGCAAGATTTCATGCTAGAAGTATTGCTCTTGCTATTATTTTTCTCCTGATGCTGTCCTGTAGCTAGAAAGCCATATGTAGCATCACAATGAGGCTAAAATAGAGTGGGACCAATGCTTCCTCCCCTCAGTTTGGTCTTTTTTGCTAGAGAAAGCAGAAAGAATTTGGTCCTGTTTTCAGTAAGTGCCGTTAGCTACCAGTAAGTGAGGTGAGTCTTATGGGTCTTCTTTGCACTTCTCCCCCCCCCCCCCGTCAGTAAAAAGGGAAGGTTTAAGCATGGAAGTAAAATTAGATGAGGTGAAAAATTCTGGTTCAACTTTAATATGTTCTTCTTTGAACTGGATGGTTCAGGTCTACTATAATAAATGTCCAGAGGCTAGAGCAGGGGTCCCCAATCTTTTGAGCCCAAAGGCACATTTGAAATTCTGACACAGGGGGTTGGCTGCAACCACAAAATGGCTGCCACAAGAAGCGGAGCTAGGGATGCTAGTCTCCAGGTGGGACCTGGGAATCCCCCTGAATTTCACCTAATCTCCAAACTAGAGTCATCAGTCAGTTCCCCTAGAGAAAATATCCGCTTTGGAGGGTGAACTCTGTGACATTGTACCCCACTGAGGTCTCTGTCCTACCTAGACTCCGTCCTCAAATCTCCAGGAGTTTCCCAGGCTGGATCTTGCAACCCTACTCCCCCATCCCCCGCTGATGGCCAGGGGGATCTGGCAGCCCTGGGCAGATCCGACTGCAAAATGGTTTCTGAAGGAGGCAGAGCCAACCACAAAATGTCAGGGAGTGAGGTTATACATAATTCTAATAGTAGATCAAGATTTCAGACAGAAGCTCTGTTTAACAGAGTGGGTTTTAAAACAAACATATGGTTTTAAAGGTGTGTGGGTTTTTTTGGCATACACATAGCTTACCTTCATTCACATAGTGAAGATTTTTAAAAATTTGCTCAGCCAATCAGAAGCCCTGCTGATCAAAAGCCCCACTGGCCACTCCCACTTTCTTAAAACACTTGGGCCCTTTCTGCACTGACAGCTTGCTCTGAAGAATCCAAGGAGTCAAGTCTTAAGGGTTGACTTCACAGTTGCACACATTCCCTCTGCACTGTTTCTCCCCCCCCCGTTTATTTATTTGTGTATTCCATATGCATCCTAGACAAAAACACCCACCACAGAGCTTGAACCAACAACCCTTCTATGATGAGTACAACATTTAACTCACTGAGCTAACTGGCTGCTTACTCTAAGATGAAGAGAAAGGCAAACAGCTTTCAAAACTTTTAATTGCAGGCCCAACCCCTCCCTCCCTCCCTGATTCTGCAAAAAGAAAGGGAGGAGAGGGGAAAATCCAGGCCCACACATGCAAGACTGACACATTTGGGATCAGGGAATCCCCTAGTCCTTTATATTTACTGATTCCTTCTTATGCCCTCTCTGGCTTTTTAAAAGTTTGCCTTAGTGGGAGGACACATCCTCTTTTGCCTTTGGAGAAGGAGGGAAAGAAAACAGATTGGGGACAGAGTGTCAACCTAAAGAGAGAGAGGCAGAAATGGGGGAGGGCAGTGGGCAGCACTTAAATATCCACAGAAACAATTCTACTTTAGAAAGGATTAGCGATTCGAAAGCAGATGAGAACAAAGCATCACAGCAAAAGGAGTTTTGATACTGCGGGGCAACAGTGTGCTGGAAGCAGTCTGAATACAGATTCCTGTAAAACAAATGCAGAGACAAGAAAAAGCCCTGACACACAAACTGGAAGCGAAAGTGAGAGGGAGTGCAGAATGGAAGATAGGATGCACTCAGAAACTGAGGCAAAATACAGGTGCAGAAATGGCCTTGGTGGGCACCAGGAAAAGTGTAAGCAAGCACCATAGCACTCATGGGCACCATGTTGGGGACTCTTGGGCTAGAGGATCCTCGGAGTAATTTTTCCTAAATGCAATGTTTGTGACAGCTGAAACTGGAAAACAGATGGAGTATAGATTAATTAGTTGAAAGCCTACAGTTGTTAATGTATTTGCTGTCTGAATACCGTGCTTTCATATGCATTATCAGATAAGTGTGGTTGATTAACTGAGTCCCCGTTCCTGTTTCTAGGCACTTACCAAGGCCAGTTCACCAATGGTATGCGCCATGGCTATGGTGTCCGACAGAGCGTCCCTTATGGCATGGCAGCTGTCGTCCGCAACCCTCTAAGGACCTCCCTTACTTCCCTCCGCAGCGAGCACAGCAATGGCACCCTGCTGCAACACGATTCCCCCTCGGCTAACCTGGAGAACGTTCCCATGACACCTACGATCACACGGGGTGGTTTTGCTCTCAGCTTGTATGCAGATGCGGATGCTGGAAAGCTGAAGAAGGGAGGGCTCTTCAGACGGAGCTCCCTCTTTGGGAAGTTGAAGAAATCGGATTCCAAGACTTCCCTGGCCAGCCAAAGGAGCCGTCTCAGTTTTCTGAAGAGTACAAGAAAAAGCCCTGACACACAAACTGGAAGCGGAAGTGAGAGGGAGTGCAGAATGGAAGATAGGATGCACTCAGAAACTGAGGCAAAATACAGGTGCAGAAATGGCCTTGGTGGGCACCAGGAAAAGCGTAAGCAAGCACCATAGCACTCATGGGCACCATGTTGGGGACTCCTGGGCTAGAGGATCCTTGGAGTAATTTTTCTAAATACAATGTTTGTGACAGCTGAAACTGGAAAATAGATGGAGTATAGATTAATTAATTGAAAGCCTACAGTTGTTAATGTATTTGCTCTCTGAATACTGTGTTTTCATATCCATTATCAGATAAGTGTGGCTGATTAACTGAGTCCTCGTTCCTGTTTCTAGGCACTTACCAAGGCCAGTTCACCAATGGTATGCGCCATGGCTATGGTGTCCGACAGAGCGTCCCTTATGGCATGGCAGCTGTCGTCCGCAACCCTCTAAGGACCTCCCTTACTTCCCTCCGCAGCGAGCACAGCAATGGCACCCTGCTGCAACACGATTCCCCCTCGGCTAACCTGGAGAACGTTCCCATGACACCTACGATCACACGGGGTGGTTTTGCTCTCAGCTTGTATGCAGATGCGGATGCTGGAAAGCTGAAGAAGGGAGGGCTCTTCAGACGGAGCTCCCTCTTTGGGAAGTTGAAGAAATCGGATTCCAAGACTTCCCTGGCCAGCCAAAGGAGCCGTCTCAGTTTTCTGAAGAGTGAGAGTGGGATAAGTTCCGCCGGTAGCGATGGCACCTCCACGGCTAGTTTGGGAGAAGGAGCAGAGGCAGAGGACTTCCCACCTTTTGATGCTGATATCGATGCCACCACTACGGAGTCATACATGGGCGAGTGGAAGAATGACAAGCGCTCTGGGTTTGGTGTGAGTGAGAGGTCAAGTGGCCTGAAGTATGAGGGAGAATGGCTGGATAATGTACGGCATGGATACGGCTGCACCACGTTGCCTGATGGTAAGAAGGAAGAAGGGAAGTACCGAATGAACGTTCTAATCAAAGGCATGAAGAAGCGGGTGATACCTCTGAAAAGTGCCAAGATAAGGCAGAAAGTGGACCGGAACATAGAAGGAGCTCAGAGGGCAGCAGCCATTGCCAGACAGAAATCTGAGATTGCAGCTTCCAGGTAAGAGCTCGGAGCCTGCAGTTGCCTGCATTGAGGCAGGGCTGAAGTTATCCAAAGTTTCATTTTAAATTATGAATCGGTATTTGTAACTGATGATCAAATTCTAGAAGCGTACGGACATATATCAAAGTCTTTGATGCATTTCAAAATCTGTGTTAGATCACAATTTGGGATATACAAAAATTCCTAGAAATTGAATAATGTACCAGTTTGTGTGAAGGATAAAATTATTCACCCACAGGATGATTCCTGTAGGCAAATGTCCTTACATCCTTCTGTGTTCTAACATGCCCTCAAGACTGAGTGATGGATTGATGTAGAACTGCTGGAGGATAATGAAGAATTCTTATGATTGATATGCTGTGCTCCATTATTAATGTGACAGAGCACAGTTTCAAGAAGTGGTTAAGTGGCCATGGGTTTGGGAAGGTTAATATTGGGCAATGTATAACACTGTCTTGTACTGTTGGACCATTGTCCCAGGATTGTCGCCTCTGGTTAAGAAAAGCTTTGTGAGGCCTTAAACTGAAGTTTCACCTGAGAAACTTTGAACCTGGGGCTTTATAAGGGCAAAGTATGCCCTCTACCTGTGAATTATGGCTCTTTCCATCTTTCTTATAATTGTTGTTGTTCAGTTGCACAGTCGAGTCCGACTCTTTGCGACCCCATGGACCAGATCACGCCAGGCCCTCCTGTCTTCCGTCGTGCTCCGGAGTTTGCTTAATTTCATGTTCGTTGCTTCGATAACACTGTCTATCTCATCGTTTGCTGTCCCCTTCTTCTTTGACCTTCAATCTTTCCCAGCATCAGGGTCTTCTCCAGTGAGTGCTCCCTTCTCATTTGGTGGCCAAAGTATTTGAGCTTCAGCTTCAGTGTCTGGCCTTCCAGGGAACAGTCAGGGTTGATTTCTTTTAGGATTGACTGATGTGATCTCCTTGCAGTCCAGGGGACTCTCAAGAGTCTTCTCCAGCACCATAATTCAAAAGAATCTATTCTTCGTTGCTCAGCGTTCCTTATAGTCCAGCTCTCGCAGCCATACATGACTACTGGGAATACCATTGCTTTGACCATACAGACTTTTGTTGGCAGGGTGATGTCTCTACTTTTTATTATGCTGTCAAGGTTTGCCATCGCTTTCCTCCCAAGGAGCAGGCGTCTTTTAATTTCATGGCTGCAGTCACCATCTGCAGTGATCTTGGATCCCAGAAACACGAAGTCTGTCACGTGAAGTCTGTATATTCTTATAATAGAGATATCATTAAAGTCATACTATCTGTAAGGAGATATAAAACTAGTGAGTAGATTGTAATATAAATTGTCATAAACTGGGATAATGTGTAAGATTTTACTAGGCGTGTCAGACAGAACAAAACATGCTCCTGCTATGATTGCCTTCTGAAATGTAGCTGATACAGGGCTGGATCTGACTAGCTTTTCCAGTGTAAAAATGGAGAGGGGTGTCCTGTTTGAACACCCAGAAAAACTGCTGGAAATCATGAACGAAAGCCATGGAGGCTGTAGTAAGTAGAATAATTAAGTGAGACTGAGTGAAAAAGCTGGCTGGATCCAACCCATAAGGTTAAAAAGCTGAAACATTTCTGTTCAAGCTAAATCAGATAATAAATTGTTTGGCCAGGATGAGATTAGCATATGAAACGTCTATTTTGTTCTGTTAACTTTGGAAAAAGAGAATATGCCTGGCAAAGCAGCTCCAAGCAAGCCATCACCAAGGCTGCCAATCTCCCTCCTCTCATGGAGGCTATATGACTTCAACAGCTGCACCACAGGCAGAATTTCATTATGTGCGTCTTTTCTTCTCTTGAGATATAGTGATGGACGGAAATGTGCCTGATGGAATTCTGATGTTTGTGCAGCCATTGATGACACAGCATAAGAAGAAAGGGACCTTAAAGACTTACAAAATTGTACAGAACAAAGTGTACAATTCAAGTTTAGTCAGTGAAAATACAGCGTAGTGTTAATAACTTAATACCTGTCTTGTGTGTTATTCTTCTGCAGGTATGTCTGAGACAGATAGAAGCATGTTTTCATTATTGGGTTGGATTCAGCAAGCTTTTTCATTAGCAGAGAAGAAGAGATTGGATTTATATCCCACCCTTCACTACCCAAAGGTGTCTCAGAGCGGCTTACAAACTCCTTTCCCCTCCCCACAACAGACACCCTGTGAGGAAGGTGGGGCTGAGAGAGCTCTGAGAGACACTGCTCTTTTTCAAGGACAGCTCTTATCAGAACTACGGCTTGCCCAAGGTCATTCAGCCAGCTGCAAGTGGAGGAGTGGGGAATCAAACCTGGTTCTCCCAGATTAGAGTTCGCGCACTTAACCACTACACCAAACAGATGAAAAAAGAAAGAAAAGAAACCTAACAGAACAGCTTGCATTCTTTATTAGTGGAAGGGAGCAAGACTCCAGTAGCACCTTAATGAATAACAAAATTTGTGACAGGGCATGAGCTTTCATGAGTCACTGCTCACTTCTTCAGATACAGCTAAAATGTGAGTCCATCTGTTTTTATATTTTGGAGAGTGAACTGATTTCAGATGCCAAATGACAATAGCAGGCATTAGTAGGGTATGAGCTCTCATAAGTCACTGCTCATATCTTCAGAGTTATGTCCATTTATTCTTTGCATCCTCCTGGACTGAATCCTCCTGGAGCAAATTGAGACCTGGGTTTCCTGTCTTATTACTAATGCAGGTATCTCCATGCCTACTCCCCCTCAGCACATCACACCTAATCCAATCCATCTTGCTATTGCCATTCAGCATCTGAAATCGTTTTTATAAAGTTTATATCTCCAGTGCCTCATGTTACATTTTATGGCACACATGGCCCGGCCCAACATAGTGACATTTATGTCAAATCCGGCCCTTGTAACAAATGAGTTCGACACCTCTGGGTTAGAGTGTTGGACTAGGACCTGGGATATCCGGGTTCAGATTCCCACTCTGCCATGGAAGCTTGCAGGGTGACCTTGAGCCAGGCACACATTCTCAGCCTAACTGACCTCACAGGGTTAGTTTGAGGATAAAATTAAGGAGAAGAGAATGGTGTAAGCTGCTTTGAGATATCGTATAACTAAGTAATAAATTAATACATGAAGCTTTGGGTTGTAACCTGTAACTCCACTCAGCTAACTGTGAAACAGTAGAATCTCTTGCACTGGAGGAAGGTGCTGCCACTGGGTCCGCAAAGTGGTAGGATACAACCCAGTGAAAACGCATTATTAATTAAAAATACTCTATACCTCATCCATGTATCTGAGACAATTGGAATCTATACAATTTATGGGGACAGAATCTGTAAGAAATGTCAGTTTGTGCATCATAGTACATTTCTCCAATTTAACAAATTAATTTCAGCAAACTTTCTCCTCTGTTTCTGAGCAGTCATTGGAAATGAATCTATTAGGGCTGTCATAATCTGCATGATTAGACAGTGAAAATATGTTAAAAGGCCTTAGCATTGGATGTTATATTTATGAGTTTAAAAATAAACATTTCCCTTAATCCAGAATACATGGAGCATAAATTCTGGGGTAGATCTTCTATTGTATGGGCACCATAAACCTTATGACAGCTTCCCTCCAAATATTGTGTGAGGCCATCATTTGAAATCACAGTGACAAGAATGCCTTCCTGAAGGGGTTGGTTGTGTACTTTTAGAAGTAATTCTCAGTGTGGTGTAGAGGTTAAGAGCAGCAGACCCTAATCTGGAGAACCAGGTTTGATCCCCCCACTCCTCCTCCACATGAAGCCAGCTGGGTGACCTTGGGCCAGCCACAGTTCTCTCAGAGCTCTCTCAGCCCCACCTCCCTCACAGGGTGTCTGTTGTGGGGAGAGGAAGGGAAGATGATTGTAAGCCACTCGGAGACTCCTTCGGGTAGTAAAGAGCGGGGGTATAAAACCAACTCTCCTCCTCCTCCTCCAGGGACAGTTTTTAAAAAGGAACAAAAAAGTCTGAAAGGGTTGGTAGAAGTGGCCGCCCCAGTGGTCTGGGCTTCCCCAGCCACATAATCTCTGTTTTAGATGGTTTTAGCTTCAACCAACTCTCACCTAGCCATTCCACCACTGCCCCACATGCCAACTGTGGGAGCACCTTTCCTGTGCATACTCTCAGGACAGTGGGGAATCATATCACTCCCTTTAGTGAAGCTCCGAACTGCTTGTGGTGATCTTGAAACCTTCATCACAGAAGCAGCCAAATGATAGCTTCGGGCGCCCTGATCTGCATACCGTATACAAGGTAATTAAAATGTTGCACTTGCTTAATTACTTGTCTGATCCAAGTGCAACAAATTCTGTCTCGATACAATTTACGTTACGGGTGTTCTTTAAAATAGATTACCCCATCACCTTTCAGTAAACATCTCGTTCCAACTTCTTGCAGTAAATCTGTTGGTTTTCAAGGTGCTGCAAGACTCCGGCTCTGGTTTTCTTTTTTCTGTTGCAACAGATTTATTACAGCTACTGCTCTGGAATTAATCTGTAGTTTCCAAGGCAGACAAAAGAAAATACTGCTTAAGGCAGCATCTAATTAACTTATGGAACTCACTGCAACAAGACAAGGAGATAGCCATTTAAACTAGTGAACTTTCTTAAATGGCAAGTGCACTGGTCCCATCCCCCAGCTATACATGATCATTAGAACATGGGTGTGCCATTTACCTGTGTCAGCTTTCTCTCCTTGTTTGCCATTCAAAAGCAGCTTTGCCAGTTCTGATTTTGGAGAATGTTTCCATGATACAAATCCAGTCTTTTCACTCTGGGTCATTTATTTTTTTAAAAAGCAAGAACAATTTTCAGGAACAAATTTCACAATATTGTAGTGTTTGATGCAAATACTAAGATATATTTGAACTTGGGGAAAGGGCTCCAGATCTGAAACGGGGCAAGGATTTTGGAACTACCGCAAATGATTAAAGAAAAAAATTAGTAGTTTTTGCAGTCCTTCCAACTGCTGGCAAATGTTATCACTGTAT